TTACCCGCGCTGGGACGCCTGGAGTGGCAGCAACGCCTACCACATCGAGCGCCTGATGTCCTTCCGCCCCGTCTGCTCCGCTGTGAGTGTCCCGGCTCCGACGGAGCTCTCACAACTGATCGCATTAAAATGTCCCAGGCAATAGCACCGAGGCCAAGGGAGTGAGCTTAGGAAGGGCAAGCACAGCCATGCCAGGGGCTCTGCAGGCAGTAGAGGCTCCTCAGGGTGGGCTCAACTCTTCCCCCCGCAAGCCCAGTAGGATTTGCTCTTTCTGTCCTGTTTTCTAAAACTTCTAAGGGTACTTCTGGGCCAGCCATACATGACCAGAGCTTGGGGACAGCCGGCCTGAGACCGGTAGCTGCGGCATTGCTGTCACCGACACCTCCTGGGCCAACCCCTGCCCCCTCCTGGCCCCGCACCACCCTGCTGAGCACCTCCATGCATCAGAGTTGTGGGAAAACTAGCTCACCCGAAAAAAACCAGCCCAGGGGCTGAACACCTCCCTCCCTCAGGCTGTGCACGCAACCCCCAGGAAACCCGCCGAGCAATGCTTGTCCCACTGTCCCCATCCACGCCGGGGAGGGAGCACCGCCGCCCCCTCACCCCCTGCTCTTCCCCCCCCAGAATCACAAGGAGTCCAAGATCACCATCTTCGAGAAAGACAACTTCATCGGCCGCCAGTGGGAGATCGGCGACGACTACCCCTCGCTGCAGGCCATGGGCTGGGCCAACAACGAAGTGGGCTCCATGAAGATCCAGTGCGGCGCGTAAGTGACCGGCCAAGGACCACGAGCAGCGGGGACAAACCGCTGCCATTGCTGTGCTACCACAGCTGGAGAGGGGACACCCCGTAACCCCCTTGGCTTACCTCTTATCCCCCTTACGGCCACCTGATGACTCCTTTTCTTCCAGCTGGGTTTGCTACCAGTATCCTGGGTACCGTGGCTACCAGTACGTCCTGGAGTCCGACCACCACGGAGGAGACTACAAGCACTGGAGAGAGTGGGGGTCGCATGCCCAGACCTCCCAGATCCAATCCATCAGGCGTGTCCAGCAGTAGCTCCCCACTTTCCAGTACATCTCTGCAAGGTTTCTAAAGCTCACCGGCTCCCTTTTGGTGGGTGCTAATCCCCCCCCCCCGACGTAACCACCCCTTCTTGTACTGCAACTGCTTACGGAACAACACTCCCAAACGGTACCAACTGCCACAATTGCCAATAAACGTGAAAGAAAAAGATAAACCAGCGTGGTGGGCATTTGCTGTTGTGTGTTTGGGATTGAAGTCGCACATCCCCATCCCAGTAGTAGGGACCAGAGTCTTCCCTGCCTATTTTAAGCAGGACTGAAGCCCGACGGGGCTCACACCAAGGCAAGTTCATCCCCCGACCATCTCGCACGCACAAACACAGCAGCCAAATCCTTGG